GAACTCCTGGCCTCAAGAGATCCTACTGCTTTGGCCTCCCAAAGTGCTCGAATTACAGGTATAAGCCACTGTGGCTGGCCCGTAGCATCCTTACCAACGTGCCAAGGCTGGAAATATCTCATTTTGTTGTCTAAATTAAGAATAAATGATCCAGGAGAGCTTGAACTTTAGACATCTGTTTTGGCTGTTCAGAGGCCCAAATCCTTCCTTCCTGCTTCTCGGCTGGGTTAGTAATAACTGATAACCCCTGGAGGGCCAAGGCACCACTGTGTATTATTCATAATTTGTCTCTAAAAGGACTAAGGAGAGAAGTAGTAAATATCTGCTGGATCTTTGTGGAGACACTAATCCACCTCTTTGAAATGCCAAGGCCAAGGCGAAGTTGAGAACATGAAGAAAACACACATCATCCAACACATTTTGCATTGGTTTTAATATTCTACTCCAAATTGCTTGTGTGGAAGAAAAAACAAAGTAATATTTATAAAAAGGATTATGTTACACACTTTGTATACTTCCTTTAATTATACATTGCGAGGTAGGTATTATTCCCCTTTTACAGATGAAGACTGAGGTTAGGTAATTTATTAATTCCAAACCTCTCACGAATATTAAGTGATAAAAACTAGCTTATAATCCATCTATTTATCTGAAACCCATGCTCCTCAAATTATTCACTTTATTAAAAAAATCACAATATCAATACATGCTTGCTGTAAAAGTCAAATACAGACATGTTAATGTCTCCTCCGCAACCCAAATCTGCTCTCACAGTAACACATTTTAATAGCTGAGGTGGCATCTTGCCACTTCTTTCTCCAGGCTTATATAATCGTAGACACAGACATATGAAGATTTCCTTATTTTTCTCCAAAGTAATATTTTTCCATTAACATTACTCTGCAATTTTTATCACTTATGAATGTATCACAGACAGTTTTGCAAGTCCACACAGGTAATCTTAACTCATTTTAAAACAATAATTGCATGATATATTCTGTATTACAGATGAACCATACTTCTTTAAACAGTTCCTGATAAAATTCAAATTATCTTTAGGTTTCTGCTATTACAAATAAAGCTCTAGTAAACTTTCTTGAACATATACTCTTACAAATTGGAACCTTGGTTTCCATAAACTAAATGAAAAGTGACATTACTGAATGTGATCTTTAGGTCTGAGCTGTTCCCATTGTCAGGTTTGGACTCATAGAGATATGGAAGTCCAAACAATGGAATGCCTTCCCAACAGTCCTGGTAGTCATTCCCACTGGAGAGAAAACAAGATTCTCTTAGATTCTGTGCAGTGTGAACTCTCAGCAGGGGTGGGGTCTACACCAGGAGGTATCAGAGAAAGAAACAGGTTATTATTTTATTAACTTTCAAGCTCAGAGGCCTCTATCAAAACCAGTTCCAGCCAGGTGCGGTGGCTCACACCTACAATCACAGCACTTCGGGAGGCTGAGGTGGGTCAATCACCTGAGGTCAGGAGTTTGAGACCATTTTTAGTAGAGATGGGGTTTCACCATGTTGGTCAGGCTGGCCTCAAACTCCTGACCTCAGGTGATCCACCCACCTCGGTGTCCCAAAGTTCTGGGATTACAGGCATGAGCCACCGTGCCCAGTCAGCTTTTTTTTTGAAATTCCTGAACTGGATATGTACCTCTGGATCCATATATAAACTCTCCAATCTTTATTTTCCTCTTTTGGAAAATAAGTGAGGGGTTCAGAATTTGTGATGTGTGACGCTACTTCCAATTCTCAGATTCTATAATTCTAGTTATAAAATGTGGATAAATTTCCTATAACATTTGTATGAATTCATACAAATATAAAATTTGAAGTCAAGGCTTGGGTTCAAGTCCCAATCTGCAAGTTAAGTAATCTTGGATAAGCCCTTTGACTCCTCTGAGTCTTCTTCCTCAGCTATAAATCTGGCAAAATAAATCTCATAGGTTTGTCGCAAGACTCAAGTGAGGGGTATTTGTGAAATAACTTGTGAACGATAAAGATATTAAAATAAGGCCGGGCGCGGTGGCTCACGCCTGTAATCCCAGCACTTTGGGAGGTCGAGGCGGGTGGATCACAAGGTCAAGAGATCGAGACCATCCTGGTCAACATGGTGAAACCCTGTCTCTACTAAAAGTACAAAAAATTAGCTGGGCATGATGGCACGTGCCTGTAATCCCAGCTACTCAGGAGGCTGAGGCAGGAGAATTGCTTGAACCCAGGAGGCGGAGGTTGCGGTGAGCCGAGATCGCACCATTGCACTCCAGCCTGGGTAACAAAAGCGAAACTCCGTCTCAACAACAACAATAACAACAACAAAAAAGATATTAAAATAAATGTAGCACAGGCTGGGAGTGGTGACTCACATCTGTACTCCAAGCACTTTGGGAATCTTAGATGGGAAGATTACTTGAGGCCAGGAGTTCAAGGACAGCCTGGGCAACATGGCAGGACCCCATCTCTACAGGAAATTTAAAAATTGGCCAGGGAAGACAGTGCACACCTGTAGTCTCAACTACTTGGGAGGCTGAGGTGGGAGGATCATTTGAGCCCAGGAGGTTGAGTCTGTACTGAGCTATGATTGTACAATTATACTCCAGCATGGGTGACAGAGTGAGGCTGTCTCTAAAAATAAACAAATAAATGTGGCATAGTATTCTTACTAAATCTAAGCCATTAGTTCTCATTTCTCTGCTCAACTTAAACTTCACTAATCAAATATTTAAGTCATTCACTCCACAAATATTTATGGAATATCTCTTGTTTTAGGCACTATACTTCAGTGAATAAGACACTGAATTTTTATTTACTATCCAACACTGGCCAGGCACAATGTGAAGTACTGGGTACACAATGGTATAATTAAGAGCTCTTGGCCAGGTGTGGTGGCTCGCGCCTGTAATCCCAGCACTTGGGGAGGCCAAGGCAGGCAGATCACGAGGTCAGGAGTTCGAGACCAGTTTGGCCAATATGGTGAAACCCCGTCTCTACTAAAATACAAAAATTAGCTGGGCATGGTGGCACATGCCTGTAGTCCCAGCTACTCAGGAGGCTGAGGCAGGAGAATCACTTGAACCTGGAGGTGGAGGATGCAGTGAACCGAGATTGCACCACTGTATTCCAGCCTGGGCAACAGAGTAAGACTCTGTCTCGAAAAAACAAAAAAACAAACAACAACAACAACAAAAAACACATCATGGGACTTGGATTTGAAAATGTCCTTTTACAATGTGAATCAAATACAGAAATCTAAACATATTTTACAAAGGCACAAACAAGGGAAATAAACTATTCGACATAGTAGAGAGATGAATGTAGTGCCTACTATGACCCAATACATAGGGGCCAGCTGCTGTTTTAGGTACTGGAGATTCAGCAATGAACGAAGCAGACTAAGTCCTTGGCCTTTTGAACTTACATTCTATTAGAAAGGCTGAATCACAGACACATATTCTCAGGACCTCCTGAGGGATGTGTCATGGGACTAAAATTAAAAAAGAAAGTTTGAATCAGCCAGACTATTACTAATTACATATGGAAGACACAGGCAAAGAAAAGTATGAAGCAGATATGAGAATGATGAGACACAGTTCTGGACCCAGCACTTCTGGCCTCTTCTCTTGCTAGTACTCAGTTCCCCTTATCAGAACTGAAGGCATGATGAACTCTGTTCTTTGAATCTATCTGTGTCTCATACAACACAAGGACTCCTGCAGCCAATAATGGATCACTAGCCTCCATCTAACCTCTAATTATTGCTCATATATGACTTCATTATTGTGTCCAATAATTGCAAATTCTTTAGCATGATGCACTGTGCAAGGTCCTTGCTTGCTGGCATTTATAATCACATTGAAAACTTAACAGAAATACAAACAACTCTAGTAGTAGATGGTATGAGCTGATGCCACTTGATTATATAAGATATAGGAGCTTCAAGGAGAAAGATATCACTTCTGGCTGGAGTAACTACAGCAGAGAAGGATGCAGCTCTTGTGAGACTGGTTTGTGCTAGCCACAGTGTGAGAGATTTTACACACAATCTCTCATTTGCCAGGAAGGCTTCATGAAGGACTTGGAAGTCTAAGACCTTGACGAAGAATTTGGTAAGGCAGACATGTAGTTTCAACTGAATTTTCATTTACTGTCCAACACTGGCCAGGCACAATGCTAGGTACTGGACACATGATGGTGATGGTACAAACTAAGGACTTTTAGTGGGAGACACAGACAAATAGGCAATTATAACTACCCTATAGTGTAATGTATACTATAGTAGATAAAGCACAGGGGCAAAGGCAGAACAAGGTCAGGTGTATTTGTCATGATTCTCTTAGTTGCACATGACAAAATGACTCAAAATATCTTAAGCTAAAATGTGATCAACTGGCTTATGTTACTAGAACCACTAAGGTGGATCCAGGACTTAAGCCAGGACACTCCCTCTGCTCTGTGTCAGCAGTGTCCTTTAATACTGCAGATGGGAGGTCCCCAGGTGAACATTCTTTGACACAGTGACCCTAGAGGCAAGGGGCAGGCTTCTTGGCTAGCTCTTGTGGAGGGAAGGACTTTGGCCCTGCTTGGACCATTTATCTTTTCCTGAAACAATCCCTGTTGCCAAGGAAAGGGGCACCACAATCAACAAACTGGGTTTACACACCTAGCCCTGCTGGTGGGTTAGGTTCTGATAGCAGCAGAAAGGGAGAGGGGAGAAATACATAGGGGGTCACCACAAACAACAGCTACCACATGGAAGCCCTGAAGTGACAGTGCAGTCGTGGGAACAGCGGGGACACAGGGAAAGGGATGTGTGGGATGAGTTCCTAGAATGGTGAATAGATTAGTTTGGCTGGAGTAGTGGTCATACCTAAGAGCACAGAGAAAAACCAAAGGGGGCAGGGCAGACTGTGGAGGGACTTGAATACCTGCTAAGGACTCTATAGCAGCCCGACGGGAGTGCGGTGACAGCTTTGCTTAGAATCTGTAAGGTGATCCTTTGTAGTTCATAAACATGATGACTGGGTGTTCCTGTGCACGTGTGAGATGTGCCATCCTCAAATCTTGTTATGATGCTGGTATATTACCTACCTGATGTGGAAAAAAATATAAATAAAGTAGTTTTTAAAAATCAATAGGGCAACAAGAATGAAGGTGCGAGACACCTACAGACTTCATCTTCCTTGAAATGAGGAAGTGACAAAGTTTACAAATTTCACATTGTGTGTGGCGTCACCCCCAAACCAGCACAGTAATCTACAACGTGTGGGCAGGTGCCATAGGGAACACCAGAAACTGCACAGGAGTCCAGCTGGTGGCAGATCCCAGCCATCCCCAGGGAAATTCAACCCTAAGAGGAGAGGACTCACCCTTGATGGGAACCACTGTGAGATGGACCAAGAAGGAAGATGGCAAGAACACTAAGAGAGAAAGAAGGAAATCACTAGAGTGCCTGGAGGAGTCCCAGGCAGCTTTGGAAAGTGCAGTTTCCGACAGATAGAGGAGCACCTTGGCAGGAAGAGGCAGGATGCCTCTAAATCAGTGGCTGGGGAAGGGCCAAGGAAGCTCTGGGGTTGGTGAAACCCATCCAAGTGAGGTTAGAATCCTAAAGTCAGAGGAAATTTGGCTACGCAGAGGTGCCATCCAGTAAACTAAGTAGACCTCACTACAGCAGAGGAGGGAGCCCTCGAGCTGAGAATCAAGGAAAGCTTCCTCCCTTCTCACATCACAGAATTCTCTTGCTAACTATTGGTTCAGAAAAATCCAACCCATCAAAAAATGAATGATAAAAATCCACAAAACGTTCTGCCAGAAAAAAAAAAAAATCTGAAAAGGAGTGGTAAAACTTCCTCCCTGTGGAATGAAAACTAATCCAAAATATCTTACCACAAAAATGGAGTCTCGCTCAGCTGGGTTGGAGTGCAATGGTGTGATCTCAGCTCACTGCAAGCTGCCCTCCTGGTTTCAAGCGATTCTCTTGCCTTAGCCTCCCAAGTAGCTGGGATCACAGGCATGTGCCACCAGGCCCAGCTAATTTTTATAATTTTAGTAGAGACAGAGCTTCACCATGTTGGCCAGGCTGGTCTCAAACTCCTGACCTCAGGTAATCTGCCTGCCTTGGCCTCCCAAAGTGCTGAGATTACAAGCGTGAGCCACCACACCTGGCCAGAAGAAGAAAATTTTAACCCCTATTCTATTATGATTTTAAAAAAAAAAATGTAATGAGGCAATGACAGTTATGCAGGAAGATGACAAAGCAGAAATAAAGAATTCAAGGAAGTGGTGGTCAGGCAGCAGCAGGTTACAAACCATGGGAGGGCATGAAAAAGGAGCTGGTAGATTAAAAACTGCTTTAGGAAAGAAATGGGAAAGAAATACAGAAAAACTGCAGAAACAAAAACAAATTACAAGGAACACAAGGGACAAGGGACACTACTATGAAAGATACTGTGGAAGACAAAGAACAGAAGAAAAGTAAAAAATAGGAACTTAAAATCATTAAAGAGGGCCGGGCGCAGTGGCTCAAGCCTGTAATCCCAGCACTTTGGGAGGCCGAGGCGGGCGGATCACGAGGTCAAGAGATCAAGACGATCCTGGTCAACACCGTGAAACCCTGTCTCTACCAAAAATACAAAAAATTAGCTGGGCATGGTGGGGCGTGCCTGTAATCCCAGCTACTCGGGAGGCTGAGGCAGCAGAATTGCCTGAACCCAGGAGGCGGAGGTTGTGGTGAACCGAGATCACGCCACTGTACTCCAGCCTGGGTAACAGGAGCAAAACTCCATCTCAAAAAATAAAATAAAATAAAATAAAATAAAATAATTAAAGAAGTGATAGATGAAACTGCATAAACATAGTCTCTGAAGGAAGAAAAAACGGAACAGAACAAATTATTTTAAAATATGGTTCAATTTTAAGTATGGTTCAATTTTAATTGGAACTGGGATTAGAGGGACAGCTTGGCCCAGTTCACAGACCTAGATTTAGGAAACAAGAGGGGAAGGGAAGCCTGCAAGTTATCTCAAGGCTGTGGAGCCAGGGGCAGGTCAGAGGTGCTCTTTGTCCACAGGAACCCTCTGCCCTCAGTCTCTAAGAGGGAGGCACAGGAATCGGAAAGGACTGTGCTGCCCTACCCACATCCTGGTTCAACCCAGCCTCCATTACCTACAAAAGTAGAGGGCAGTAGGGAAGTGAGCAAACAGTTCAAAAACAGTGCCTTAAAAACTAACAAGTTACCAATTAGGGAACCAAAAAGTAGAGATTAATCTCTGTGCATCCATCACTCAGTTTATTAAATAGTAACATTTTACCCTACTTGTTTCAGATGCTTTTAAGGAAATAGCAATATTACAGATATAACTGAAGCCTATTATAAACCTCTCTGATCCCATTCATCACCTCTCCCCAACCCAGGATGCCACAGTCCTGAAACTGATGATTACTTTTGTGAAGTATGCTTTTATGCTATTACTGCATAAATATGTATCTACAACTACATGTAATTTGTATCACATGCTTTCAAATTTTATATAAATGGTATCATAATGAATGTGACCTATAATTTGCTTTTGTTTTTGACAAACATTGTTTCTCAGATTTACCCTGGTTGATATACAGGGGTGTACTGCATTGTAACTGTGGCAGTTTTGTTGCTGTTTTCTTTTTCTTGAGACAGGGTCTCTCTCTCTCTCTCTGTCAACCAGGCTAGAGTGCATAGAGTGCAGTGGCGCAATCTCAGCTCACTGCAGCCTTGACCTCCTGGGCTCAAGTGATCCTCCCACCTCAGCATCCTGAGTAGCCAGGACCATAGGGGCACAACATAGGACCACCACCATAGGACCACCACACATAGCTAACTTCTTTATTTTTTGTAGAGACAGGGTCTCCCTATGTTGCCCAGGCTGGTCTTGAACTCATAGTCTCAAGCAATCCTCCTGTCTCCACCTCCCAAATTGCTGGGATTATAGGTCTGAGCCATTGCATCCAGCCCCTACTGGTTTTTAAAATAAAATATACACCTACCCTGTGACCTCACAATTCCACTCTTAGGTATATGTTCAAAAGAAATGAATGTAGGCGGGGCACGGTGGCTCACACCTATAATCCCAGCACTTTGGGAGGCCGAGGCGGGCGGATCACCTGATGTCAGGAGTTCAAGACCAGCCTGGCCAACATGATGAAACCCATCTCTACTAAATATGTAAAAATTAGCTGGGCATGGTGGTGGGTACCTGTAATCCCAGCTACTCAGGAGGCTGAGGCAGGAGAATTGCATGAACCCAGGAGATGGAGGTTGTAGTCCAACACGGTGCCCCTGCACTCCAGCTTGGGTGACAGAGTGAGACTCTGTCTCAAAAAATAAAAATAAAAAAATTTTAAAAATATTATGTATGTCCACAAAAAGACTTCCTTGTGGATATACAAGAATGTCCACAGTGCTTTTGTTCACAATAGCTAATAATTTAAAAACAACAAAGTGTAGCATATCCATACAATGGAATATTAAGCAACAAAAAGGAGCAAAGTACTGATAGATGCAACATGAATGAAATTAAAAACAATGGGATGCTAACGTTGCACAACTTGACAAGAGTTTGGGTTACACAAGTCTTATTTATTAAGATTATATACTTGAGATTCATACCTTTTTCTTTTTCTGAGACAGGGTCTCAATCTGTTACCCAGGCTGGAGTGCAGTGGCATGATCTGGGCTCACTACAATGTCCACCTCCCGGGTTCAAGCAACTCTTGTGCCTTAACTTCTAGAATGACTAGAATTATAGGCATGGGTCACCACTCGAAGCCATTTTTTTTTTTTTTTTTTTTTTTTTAAGATAAGAATTTCACCATGTTGGTCCGGCTGGTTTTGAACTCCTGGCCTCAAGTGATCCACCCACCTCAACCTTTCAAAGTGCTGGGATTACAGATGTGAGCCACCATACCTGGGCCATGTGTTTCATATTGAACTTTTAATGCTATGCATGCTAAAGTACTTAGGGAGAGGTGTACTGGTATCTCTTTTTTTTTTTTTCAGTGGCGGGGGGATGCACCAGAAAATAAGATGGAATGATGGATGGATGGAAAGATCTGTGATGAAGTAAGAATAGCAAAATGTTGACAGTGGAATTTAGGTGGTTTGACATATGAGCATTCATTATAAATCCTTTCAACTTTGCTGAATATTAAAAAATTTTCATAATAGGCTGGGCACAGTGGCTTACTCTTCTAATTCCAGCACTTTGGGAGGCCAAGGCGGGCAGATCACTTGAGGCCAGGAGTTGGAGACCAGCCTGGCCAACATGGTGAAACTCTGACTCTACTAAAAATACAAAAAAAAACTCTGCCAGGCGGTGATGCATGCCTGTAATACCAGCTACTTGGGAGGCTGAGGCAGGAGAATTGCTTGAACCCGGGAGGTGGAGGTTGCAGTAAGCTTAGCATGCACCATTGCACTCCAGCAAGACTCTGCCAAATAGTAATAACGGTGATAATAAAAAAATGTACAGGAAATTTAAAAACATTTAACTTATCTAAAACCAGCTCCTGATTTTGTCCTACCCACAGCTGCTCCTCTGAGTGACAGCCATTCATTCATCTAGCTGCTTGCCTTTTACTTGTCTCACAGTCGCCTCAGTCTGTCCATCAGCACAACTCTTTCAGTGTGTTTCCTGAATGTGCTGCTCCACATCTCCACCACCCAACCCGCTCCCGCAAACCACCCCCTTCCCTGCCTTGCACCCATCTCCTATCCAGTCACTGCTTCCACGCTTTTCCCCTGCTGGAGTCTATGCTTCACATAGCAGCCAGCTGGATACTTTGAAAACATTCTCTCCCACTGCATCTCCTTCCCCTCACTCCCTTGCTCACTATGTTCCAGCCATACAAACCTCCTTGTGCACTGAATGTGCCACGGTCCTCTGGACTTTCTGTTCCTCCGCGTAGGAAGTTCTTCCTATCTGCACGGCTTATTCTTTCTTCATAGTTCTCTGCTTGAATGTCTCCGCTTGAATGTCTTGCCTGAATATTTAACATAGTACCTCCTGTCATCTCGCACCGTGCTCTTATTTTTCATCTTAGTTCTTATTACTATCTGACAC